GGATTCCGATTTCCGAAATCATTTTTGATGAAATCTGTTCTCAATACAGATTTTTGGAACAATAAAGAGTTATTATGGTTGAGACCGGCCATTTATTCCATGGTACGGGGTTTAAACCGTATCACGTCCTCTGTGAAGCGTTTGCTAGGGGACGGAAGCGAAAGAAAAGTGTCTCTGTTCTTTTAATGTTGTCGCATGCGATGAGGTTCACGGCCGACCAACACAGATCATTCTGATGTGTTGGTTTATCGTCACCCCACGCTCCCTACCGTTAACACTCCCTAGCCGTTTTTCGGGCCGTTTCCCTCTTGTTGGTCTCCACGCTATTTCTATCGTCTATGTATCGTATTTCGGCTCACTATTCCCATGTAGAAACCGGCTTTCCGACCAGGTGCTATGACGTAGTTTCACAGTGAACGATGATCTTCGGTAATATGTGACTGCTCTTCGCAAGACACTCCGACGAACCCAATGATTCCTTCGTCCGTTCACAACGTGATCACTTGGGGGGTGAATCAGCTCTCCTTGGGATATTGTTGTATACAACACAATATCATGACATAACGCTCTGTTGTCACAGACATTTTCGATCGCTTCTGGCGTTTGATGCTTCGTTGAATTCTGTGTCGCGTTATCATTTTGCGTGCCAGATAACCGATGGCATACGTGCATGGCTCGGCCGTTTTTTCTGCCATCAATCCTTATCAGGATTGTTCGATCAAACACGTACGTACCAGCAGGGGTAAGATCAGGATCATTTTGTTCCGTAGTGCATTTTTGCAGGGTTAAAATCATGTACTCTATGTTGATGACGTGATACGTTTCCATGAAGATCATGGGCGTTCCCCCCTGTCCATTTTCACTGATGCGATTCATCCATCCATGTAGCCTCCCCGTTCCGATCATTCGTCCATATCTGTAATTACTGCTGTATGACTTGCGTGCCTGATAACGGCTGTGTACGTGCAACGACATTTGCTTCATCTTTAGTCTGTGTGTCAACTGAACTTTTACCTCTTAGTTAACGCTCCCATTGCTACCATGTCGGGGTAGTTGACTGCCAGTCTGCCCATGAACTTCACCTACATCATCTCGACGTCCGTCCAGAAGTTAATTATTTCAGCTATCTATTGAACTGGGAATATTCACAGCCATGGCTACTCATTCCTCTCTTATTAGTACTGGTTTTTACTCTCTAAAACCGTTTACTTTCCTGCCTTTTTCCCTTTCTTCTTTCTTCTCTACCTGTATCAGTTTACCTGTTGGAAGTTCATTAAGAAATTGATTAGCGCAGTGAAAAGTGATTCAGATGCAAACGAATACTTTTTTAATGACCTTTTTCTGCTGGACGGTCATGCAAAGCGCGACAGTTAGGTTGAACTTTTCAAGGGGATAATTTCTTCGAATCGATTTCTTAGGAAAAATTGGGAAATTTCTGGAAAACCAGCGTTTTGAGTACCTGAAGACGTTCTATTACCTCTGGTTGCTGATGAACAGCAAGCCGCTGAAAGGCTACTGGAAGTGCATACCGTATATCGCGGATCTATTTATAGATCCGATGACTACTAGTCACTACTCTCTCTAGGGGATTTACCACGATTATACTTGTAAACCTGATGGGTTCTTGGTAGTGAGTACCTGAATCTCCGCTAGCATATGGGTATTCGAGGCCATGGTTCTATCTACCCAGGTCAGCTTACTCCTGTAGGCCATGTCCTTGACTGGCCGGTTGACTGGGAGTGATGGAACGTACTCCCACGATTTCCGTACTCTTTCAAAACCATTACTTCAGTAGTGAGTGGCGCGTCTAGCAGAAAATTAAGAATTGGGACGGGAAAGGGGGACGTTCGCTGGACATTTTCATCCTTAATGCCTTTTCAGTAATCCTTTTGTTTTAACAATGTAGGAAAATTGCAAGTACTCGACCATGGTGCAAAGTTCGGAGGCTGCTTCGCGATGACAATTCGCATTCCAAAATAGTCCGGCGCAGAAATTCCGGTTACTGTATATTGGGAAGGGGCTAAAAACCTTGGAGGCTGTGAGTCTCGTTACTTGTTTGTTGTTTACTGTTACACAATTTTGATTTGTTCGCATGTTCCAAGTGATCGTTGAAGTTTGATGCTGCTTTGCAATGCGTTAATAAAAAACCTGTTCCCACTTCCGTGATCACACGTATTACTACTGTCGAGGCTGGAAGTCGACCGTCCTCATTGTCATCATGGAGCTCATAACTGGGAACTGATATTGTTCGTTTCAGAATGGACCCGTTCACAACGCCGACTGTTTCCAGTCAGTGCTTAAGTTCAGACCTCTGTGTAGTATGTGGCGACAAGGCTATTGGCAAACACTATGGAGCCGTAGCCTGTAATGGTTGCAAAGGTTTCTTCAGGCGAAGGTAACTATTCTTACTTGAAGTAGCAGTAACAGCGAACCAATAGCAAGATGGAGGGGTTGAGACGGTGATAGCTGTGGAATGGTACTAACCTTAACACTGACGGGCAAGCTGCTGGTCTAGGTGGGGTCCGTGGAGCCTCTGAAGCTTCCTATGGGTGGCGTCCAACGCTAAGCGAGCAAAGCCCACCAGGACCTTCTGTATGGTAGCCGAGTTCAACGTATTTGAACCAGAGCTAAGTAAATGAACAAATAAGTACAAATTGGGTCATAGATGATCAAACAGGACCATGTTTGCTTTGATATGGCTTTCCACTAATAAGTAATCTGTATGTACCGATTAGCAAGGAACACTGGGAACAGAGGCCGGTAATGACTGGGAGGGATGGGATGTTGAGGAACTGAGATGGGGAGCTATCTTTTGATGCTTGATTTCCTGTGCTTTTGGAATTTGTGGTCGGAATTGCCGCATAAGGCTTAGAACGGTGCCCCTCTCGTTCCTTTCTGGGCACAGCACATAAGGGAGATTGCCCAAGCGGGGAATACGGTGGCATTCCGAACATAGCCAGACTACTCCTAGCTGCTTATTTAGGGAATTTACTCAGTAGGTTCACTACTAGTAAAGAAACATCAACGGTCCCCTAAATAATCCATCCCCCTTCCTATCCCTCCCCTTTCTTCCTCGTACCCAAACTTAGAAGCCTCCATGAGTCCATGCCCTGGTCCATTTCTTGGTCCTAACCTGACAGTCACATAGTAAGGTTTATCTAATTAGTAATGTAAGTTGGTAATTTGACGAATGTCCCTTTTTTTCAGCGTGTTCCAAAATCTTCAGTACACATGCCGTTTTGAAAAGAGCTGTAGCATTGACAAGGACCATCGTAATGCCTGTCGGTACTGCCGCTTTCAAAAATGTCTAGCCGTCGGTATGCGGCCTGAAGGTTAGTTTTATAATGAAATTTAACCGAAAACAGAGAAAATTTGGGTATCTTCACGATTCACTCACTGATCAAAGTTCGGTAATCACCTTTTGTTCTAGCTATTCAAAACGAGCGTGACCGAATTGGAAGCACAAAACGTCGGAAGCGCACTTTGACAAATCAGGATGACACATCTGATTCTGAAAGTGTGCCATCACCAAAAATGGTAACTTTCTCTCATCTTCTCATTTCTTGAATAACAATATTAAAATAACATAAAGAACCGTTCACATAAGGGAATGGGGCGTATCCTGAGAGCCATTCCTGTACCGTTTCCCTCATTCCGCGGTCGGGACCCTCTCCCCTTCCGAATTCGATTGCCAGAAATGGAGACCTCCAGCTGGACTTGGGGCATTACCAGTTCCCGTGGTATCGGTTCAGAAGCCCACCCTAGATTTTGGGCTTCCCAGTTCAGCAGTAGGCTTCACCAGAGAAGGTAGAAAACCCTCACGTGCATGAGCTGTCGTTACTCAAAACGGGCCACTGGCTGGTTCCAGCTTAACAGAGACCCCAAACTTGGTAGAAGTAGGAAGGGCACAAAATGGCACTGAGCTTTTTATACGGTATTTTTCTAGATATGGATTCCTTGGAGGTTATATAATCGCTTGTCAAATCTGAAAATACCATTTAATGATTGCTTACATTGTTATAGTTCAAAGTAATTCAAGTTAACCAGTACATTTTTTGCAGGATTCAAATGCTAGCGCTTCATGTCGACTTCTTCAAATGCTTGTTGATGTTGAGCAACGTGCTGTAACGAGTCAGAATATGGATAGACTGTTACGAGAAGATACTGAATGCCGTACTAGTAGACAACGGACTGTTAATCACATCATTGGATGGGCCAACATGCTCCATCCTCTTCCAGAGATACCATTCGTTGACAAGGTAAGTCTGATCGTCTATGAGCCAGTCCACTGTAGCCTGACCGATTCGATTTGGGACAGTAATGATTGTGGAGCAGATAAGCACAGTTGGAATGGGAATCTGCTTTCAGACTGTTGATAAAAATAAATCTAAAAATAGTTTTACTTGTAGATGCAATTGCTAAAGCAATTCTCGCCGTCATTCGCTCTGCTGAGTACGGTACAAAGAAGTATGTCACTTCCGCATTTGTTGCTGCCGAATGACGAGATTCTCGTACTGTCTGCTTCCCACGCGTCATCCATCGTTACGGTACTCTCTCGTGTCCTCGAGGAATTGCTGAACCCACTGCGACGATTACGCGCTGATCAGGCCGAGTTCAGCTGTCTTAAGGTGACATCACTTGGGTGATTCAACTGGTTCCCCCATAAATCTGCTATTTTTTCAGGCCCTGCTCCTTCTTAATCCCGATGTAGTCGGCCTATCATCACAAGCTCGAGACATGATACGTGAATCAAGAGACGCGCTACTCAAAGCTCTCTACAGCTACCTCAACCAGTCGTTCTCCGTTATTGATGCATCGTTACGGTAGGTATTAGGGTTTGACTCCTAGAAACATTTATTAGCCCAAAAACGTCAATTAGAATCCTTCCAGGGTGTCGTCTTTACTTCTGATCATTCCTTCTCTTATGTCAATCAGTCAGTGCATCTCCGATATCCCGGAGTTAGGCGAGCTATTCGGTCTTTGCGAAGGAAACCAGAAGCAGAAGGATCCGGTCGTTAGGTGAGATTTTCTTGATTTATGCTCAACACAAGACCATCGCTCTGAAGCTTTACAGTGCTGAATGATATTTACTGATTAAACGATTAAAAACGCATCGAAAGGCACGTCATTGGTGCGCACGGTGGCACCGCGCCGCGACCGCGCGCTCCATTGATGTACTCGACTCAGGTCCTTGCATCACATCAATTAAAAAACCCTCTTTTTCAGGGAGCCATGGCTGATCCCGGACAAGAGCTCCTATCAGGGTTTGCAGTGTAACGACACGGCATTTTCCCGAATCCTGACCTCACAACAGCTGTTCCCTCAACAAAGCCTAATTTGTTCACCTTGCAATACCTCATCAACCATTACGACATCGATTCCACTCATTCACAACACTTTACCGGTTAGTGCTTCATTATACTTTAATAGAATCACTTATAATATATAATATTTAATATTCAGCTCCTCTCCACTGCTCAGGACCATTTTCCTCTGAAGGTCTTCATGACATAATGGATGCCTATGAAGCATGACAGCAATTTTTCTATTTCCGTTTTTATCAGATTTAGCTTCTGGAACAATTCGTTGTACGTGTATGGCATTTGATACTGAATTTTTTCTTATTTAAATTGTGCCGCTTAGTTCACTCTACTGCTGTACGTCATTTTTGTATTTGTGGTGTTCTTTTATCAGAGACAAATAAAAATTACTATATGCATAATTAGATTTGGTTAGACGGACAGACAGACAGACAGTTAGACACACAGACAGATATGGACAGACACACACACCCAGGCACACAGAGAGACCGGGAACAGTCTTCATATAATAAGGGAGTTGAATGAAGTAGTAATAAAATACCCAGGGAATGAATATGGCCCGAGACCGCTTGGCTCCGTACCCATCTTCCCAACGCTTGAGTCCTTGAGTTAGGCCTCAGGGAATCGGGTTCTCATTCAGTCGGGTGCTAGAAACGCTCCGGCTGAACCACAATGTTGGTCAGAAACTTACCCGTACATTACTGCATTCGACCTAAAAATGTTAACTCAGAGTCGAGCTCATGGCGCAATCAGGAATAGTTTCGCCTAATGACTGTCCCTGAAGGCACACTCCACGATGATTTTGGAATCTCCGGTTTAAGACGAATAATGAAAGTTATTGCCCAGAATATTGCAAAAGTGGCAAAAATTCAAAAATCATCGCGTTCAGGGAAATATAAAGCTCAAAAAGAAGTAAACTTAGGTGTTGGACGAGAAAGTGAAGGTAGAAGTCGCCTGGAAGGGGTTATTGAGCGAGCTGTCCAAATTTGTGTGCCATTGCACAAGCTGGTTGCGCAAGCTGACAGTGAGCTGCCTGCGTGCATGGTGCGGGTCCTGGTGCGATTGGTGCAACGGCAACAGTTCTTGAAACGCTTGAAAACTCGTACGCCTCGAGTATGTACGTCGGTTAGGCCGCTTTTGATGGCCCATATTAGGCCCTATCCTTGCCATTTTTCGACCCGACAGCGCTCTTTAGTCTATTCTTGGGATTCACGGGCTCATCCAAGGGAGAAATCCATAAACCAACTATGCCTTTGAACTTTTCGATCAGCTCTTGGTTTCTTCAGCTACCTGCCACTCTGAAACTTTTTCCCGTCACTCCACAGGCTTTCCACATATACTTTTGCAATTATACTAGTTGTGGATTGTCGAGCCTACTTTTCTTAATCTTCTCACTAGACAAAATTTCACGTCCATGGGGGGACCGCCGGTTACTGGTTCCAATAAGATCATCGCCACGCTTCTAAGCGAGCCACCGAAAATCGTCAAGGAAAAACAGATGGAAAAAAAACCTCATCCATGTTTTTCCACTGACGATAAAGGTACACTGTGGGTGGCAATAGCGCGTATGGGATTCCGTCATTTTACATCAAATGGCTCCAATTTGACGAGATGGAATACGAATCCAGGCTTTCATTTTGGCCAGATTTCTTTCTGCCCAGCCGAATTCTAGACGTCTTTCCAATAAGCGTTTCTACCCTTGCTATCAATTCTGAGATTGTTTACCTTTTCTTACATGAAAGGAGAAGTGAATGGCGTGGATGACAGAACCAACTGGTAGTCTGCAGGATCGAAAGAGCCTGCAAGCGATAGTCCTATCGGAGCTGATATCATTAAGAACAATATGGTGAGGCTGACAAAGTGAACTCTACCTCTCAGATCACATCCTGAGCATTTTGCGCCATACGCCATGGGTTGAGTTAATAATAAATCGTGAAACAAGACTTAATGACGATCATGTTCGGAATGACTAGCCTACCCCGGACCCCGTGCACAAGAACCTTACTTTGACTTAGACCAAGGTAAGCCTATTGTATACGAGGTCCTGGGATATCTTAGTCCAGAGAGCTGTCTTGGGTTTATCTTGCCTTTTAAGAGAAGCTCGATGTTTTTTCGACCTCCAGGCTCTGACGAAGGCGAACTTGCCGAAACGTTAGCCCGCTGGACATGGCTCGAAGTGTTGCACGATCAACTCAGTATTTCCAACCCCGTAAAATCTTGTTTATACCCCGTAAGACGCACACTTGTTTATAAGGTAACAGCTTGCATTCCCGAAGTGGTGTAGTGGCTAGTGGCGGACCATCCTACACGTATGGTCACGGGTTCAATCCCAAATCAATACTCGCTTAGACCGGCCAAACTTTCCATATTCGAGGAACGGTAATTGGTACTGGACTGGCCTGGGAGAATGAAAGCACTGAGACTTGTACATTGGCTGGCCACTGCAAGTCACTGTTTGTATAGGCCACATACCATACATCACGATTCTGAATGAACGTCGAATACGGGCGCATCCATCAGATGCGCATCGCATCCCCCCAAAGACTGTATCCTTCACCCATGACGAGATGATGAAGATGTAGCGTTCCAAGGGTGAGTGACCTTTGGTAGGACGGAGTGACGCACAACTTCGCGACGTGCACAGTAGGTACGGCAAAGCAAAGTAATCCGTTCAAGCCACATCTGGTAACATTGGGAGACGGGCAGTAGGAACGGTTTTGTGTAATCGATTCGCCGCACGCGGCTGTCGCGGACAACTTCTTCGTCGTTATTACAGTTCTGGCGTCCTTCATACAGCTCAATCGGTATGCAATCCTTATTTTAGGCATGATTCTACTATTAGTCCCTTTGTTCCTATATTTCTTACCTGCTGCTGCGTCGTGCTATAATCCCTCGCGCGCAGCGTCCCTCTTGCCGCGACGCGACCGTTTCGTTCCTACTGCACCACAGCCGGTAACTTTAGCTGCCGACTGCATGCCTTGAAATTGTTAGTATCGCTTTTTCTCTACGTAGTTATGCACAAGGAACTGCTCAGGTACTGAGCTACTCATAAGAAGAAGTTGTGGCCGAATTATTGAACATTACTGCACTTCGTGGGCGTCATCGTACTCAAGTGAGTAGAATTTCGTTCTTCCATCTTCCGCAGCCGCTCTTGGTATTCCTAGACTGTTCCGATTTCCATGTTCTCATTTTTATGTTATTGGACCCACTATCCTTTTCATCAGCTATTTTTTAGTATGTTCTCATGTTATGCCTATGACGTTTCCCGTCAACCCTCCTACACGCTGAGGTCCTCTGTTTAAGAGGGTAAAGACGAGCTCGTACCCCAGTCATAGATATACAACCACTAAACACTCAGTACGTGGTCTAAAAGGCGACCTTAGCCATGGATAAAGGTCTATATTTACTTTAAGCTTTGATAGTCCAAGCCATCGCGTTATCATACTCCAAGAGAGTTTTCATAATGGTTTGTTTACTGAAGCATTAGGAAGTAATTTTGGCACCCTTCCTATCCATAGTATTTACAGATAGCGCTGAAGCCTCGGCCTCACCTAGGTAGAGATTTGCATTCCCATAGTATCTATCCCAGACTTTCGTAAGGAAGCTATATCTTCTGAATACTTCGGAAAGGGAAGTAATCATTCAGAAGTTCTTGATAAACAAAACAGCAAAGCGCTATTCTACAATACACACTCACCTGCTCACTGCTTTTCACCTGTGGAGTTACTCAGAAGATTTGAGTAATTCTAGTTGAGTTGCTTGTCATAAAGGCTTATAGCAATAGCAAGCTACAGGTAACGGAGCTCGAAAATGGAACCGTACATAATTGCTAAGTACTTTACTAGTAGAGAAGACCAAAACGCGTCCAGAACGTGGCCCTCGATTTCGACAGTCGATCCCTGATGGTGTGGGAAGAACACGAAGAATACGGATTCCAGATGACTTGATGATGGCTAGTATCGAATGGAAACCAGCGGCATCACGATTTTCCATTTGAAGATGAAGCCCGCTGTTATGGCTTCAACCCTACACATCGTGTTGTGGTTTAATTCAAACTCGATTACCGGGTTGACGCACCCATTTTTGGGGCGGGGCTTCCTTGAAAGGCGTTGCCGTCTAGCCTTAGTTTTATGATTGTGGTTCCGGACTACTTGATAACATCGTCAGGACCTCGTAGCACTTCAACTCCCTTCCTTACATTCTCATGAAGATCCCTATAAAGCGACATCGTCTTTGATTTCTTCCAAAACTGATACTAAACCAGTAGTTATAATGGAGCCCGTCCCCTTGATCATTTACTTTTCGACTTCTACTCTTGTTTCATAACATCTGAAGACTTCTCTCGTCAGGAATGGGACTCTTATTCAAAATTCAATTACTACACAATATTTGTCACGCTGTTTACGATGCGAGTAGAAGGAAAAAGCAAGAAGAATTCTGTTTTTTACAGCAGCTGACCGAAATTGTTCTTGGCTGTCAGCGTAATTGCAGTCAGCCCTTTGTAATATGATTCACGACGGCAGGAATTCTTGAATTTCTTTCCCAGGCTCCCCTATAAGGAACTTACCTTGAACTAACAAAACAATGCTTACTTTTACTCTGATTTCTTCGAAATTCTTCGAGCATTAAAATAAGTCGGCTCAGAAATTGTGACTACTGAAGGAAGAATACCGGATGAGGTAGGAATCGGCCCTATCTTCAGACGGAAGAGAGACTTGGAGGAGTGTTTCTTCTATAGAACAGGTTGACTCCGCATACCACGAAATGTTACGAGCGGCTAGTCGGCTCAAGGTAAGGAGGACAGCATCCACCTCACAGGAACAGTTCGGCTTCATGCTTCATCTGGATACTGGATGCCAGCTTCATCCCCAGGCAACTAATGGGAAACTGTCGAGAATTGTAAAACCCTTACCTGGCTTTGCTCGATCTGAAGATGTCATGGCGGCCGCACACCTCGACCTCACAGGTATAACCCGTCGTCCAGTTGATCATCGATCTCCTCGAGCGGGCGCCAGTAAGGTTCCCATTCGTCCCTGTCAACGAGCCAGAGTAGTCCAGTGAATCGTACTCGCTAGAGGGACAAGGGGCAGAAAACTCCTTTCGTACATAATTTCGGGACTTCGACCGG